TCTACGACCCCGATATGTTTTTTTCCAAGCCGCGTGCTTGGTCTACCTTGTTTTCGACCCGGATATGGTTTTAGCCTCCAGCTTTTTCCAACTCCATAACGAGACCCTAGATCACGATCTGTTTTCAACCTGTTTTCTCTGCTTTGGGTAGTTTTTTCCTCGGCCCTGAAACATCTTGTAGTTGACCCGGGTCTTGTTTCGAACAGCGGGGATCTTTTTCTTGGCGCCTCTAGGGTCTTTTGTCTGACCTCTGCTGTCATAAAGACGCGTACACATGGCATGCTAGTAATACACCAGAAAACACCAAAAACATCAAATCTCTGCAATGCAAAATCGACACGTTGTTCGTGCTTTGTTTCTTTGTGGCACTGTTTTGGCACCCGTCGTTGCAGCACGCGTTAAGTTTGCACCTTGGAGCTTGAGGCGACAAAACCCAAAGCAGCAGACATGGTTGTTGAATAGATTTGCTGCAAAAGTTGCTTTGGCTCCAGGCAATGAGGTTTCAGTTTTGCAAGAGAAAGCTGTTTCAAAAGTCTGCTACAACAAGGTGGACTCAAACAGATAACACTTGCTGAAAGACGGACTGGAAACATCCATGGAAAACACAGGAGGTCGACAAGCATGGAGGCATCACTTTTTGCGATCTTCTCCACGCACAAGAAAAACAAGGTTGGAAGGCTTCAGAAACCTGATGAGTGCAACCAACAGACTTTGCGCGAAAGGTTTGGACCACAAACACTGAACTCTTGTACTTGCCAAAGCAGCCGTGACATGAATGGGGCTTCAGTGGCAACAAACAGAACGCTTTGCCATTTGCATTGCACAGCTAAGCTAGACGAGACAAGAGTGCTTTTTTTTTGGGCGTGAGCAGGCCTCGTTGACGGCAGAATCAACAAAAAGCAACAAACTAAAAAGAAAATGCGGTGACTCTTAGTGGCTTTGTCACATTTTTACGTCCAAGGGGGTCACACTTTGCCTTAGTCAACGGAGATTCAATTCATGTTTCATGCCAAAGTGTGACATCGAGAATTGCTTGAATTGTGCGAACAAGTGAATACAACAACTAGATCTGTGATGCTAATGCGTTGGCTGCCAAGGCACACTCTTTTGTCTGAACCGCTATAAGTTGCTTTGATTGGCTTTCGTCAGGCCTAATTGCTCTTGTGCAGTTAAAGAACTGTCGCGTAACGTCGAAAGATACGATTGAGAGTCTTGCCAATCTCTTCAATGCACATTTTGTTTGGACTGGATGTAGCAAGACCCGAAAACGAACTTGTGGAGGCACTGTCCAGATGTTAGGCTGTGATGTAATTTAGACAAGTCGCACACAATCTGTAGCATTGTCTTCTGGTAAAGCTGAGCTTTAAGGTGTCGGTCAAGGCACTAGTCAGGCTTTGATCTTAAAGTCATTCATCTTGGAAACATACAGGATCTTGTTCGTTCTGATGTGTTGGTCATTCGTAAGGCGACATTGAACCCTGCCAATGTATTAACGAAGAATTCGCCTACCGAAATTCTCCGAAACTTGACTCCGAGGCTGGCATTGTGGACACTTCTCTTTCTTCCAATTTGTTTCATCTAAGACTCCTAAAACCAGAAAAATTGTTTCACATTGCATCCCTGTCGCAGGTCTTGCTGAACGCCGCGCGCGTCCCGCAACTTGGAGTGCAGGCTCATGTGACATCCGTGCTCAACGGTCTTGTGTCTTGACCGCCAAGGTTAGGATTGACCTTAGGTGACCTTCGTCCGCGCCTTAGACTGCGCTGATTGCCTAAAAGAAAGAAGAGAGAAAGAAGTGAGAAAGAAGTGAAGAGAACTGAGAGTTGAATTGAGCTTTTGAAGCATGATTTTTCCGGTTGCAGTTGGCATGCGTTTTTCCGTTGCATTGACATGCGATTTTTCATGTGCAGTTAAGTTTTCCAGGTGCATTGCATGTTCATCGGCATTGTCGTGCGGACAGATTGCCAGAATTGACTGAACGAGTTGAAGTCCGAATTGCCAACATGGTGGCCGAGGCTGCGAGGGCATTGTTCAGACTGTACATAGGATTCCTAATTTCGAGCTTCATCGGATTGCGCTGAGTGAGTTGATTCTCTCTCTCTCTCTGACTGAGCTTCAGATTGCGGTTGCATTGCTCCAGCGCTTTCAGCCTTCAGTGAGCATTGTCGATCGTGACTCGTCAACCTCGGTGATTGCCATGGCATTTCAACCACGCGTTGCCGATGCAAGCGCCCATGTGGCACGTGCAATTGATGAGTCAATTGCAGCCCGTGTAAGGACGTTGTCCATCCTCGAGATTGAGTTTCTCGTGATGGGTGCAATTGGTTGCTTGGACACGTCCACGTCATTGCAGCCATGGCTCCTCATGATTGAGACTCCCTTGATGATTGGACTCGTGGAGCATGCAGGAACGTACCCCTCAGATTTGGATGACTATTGCCAGGCATTGGCTTTGGTTGAGGAGATGCATGTGCGATTGTGCGAGGCCTTTGCTGGCGCAGGTGGAGCATTGTGGGAAACACATCTCCATTGCACACTGCTTAGCGGCAACTGCGTTGTGAAAGGGACGTGGGCATCAGAGTTGATGCCTGGAGGCTACCCCGCCATTGCTTTCCAGCACTTGATGGCGATTGCCCAGAGGTGCCAAATTGGCGATCACATCGACGCCACGGTATTGGCATCTAAGAGGGCATTGGCGTGGCACTGAAGTTTTGTACCATTGCCAAGCAACAGGAGGCGGCATCTGAACGCGATGGATTGGTTTCTTTCATCGTGTTCCTTGCCTTGCCCAGATCATTGGCAGAAGGCTTCATTGCCACAGGCACGCTCCCTTTGAGAGAGTTCCCGATTGGCCAGGTCAATGCGAGTTTGCGCATTGACGGAGCTATTCGCAAGCTGACGCATTGGATAGTGCAAGGCGTGTTTAGCAGCCATTGGGACGAGCCATTGACCATCATTGGCTTCCATCCTACCAAGACGTCATTGTCTGGAGAGTTCAGAACGGATTCTGGATATGGCGGTCAGGCCAATTGGCACAACTGCTGTTGGATTGGCAGTTCGTTTGCTACCATTTTTCAGAACACATTGGCCGAAGATTTGAGCGAGGCCCATTTGCAGCTTACCGCGAGCAAATTGGCAAGCATGATGGCGTTGTACATTGTGCAGCCATTGTCTATGATGTTCTATGCTGCATTGGGAAGCTCGATCAAAGGACGCTGCCCATCGATTGGGTACAACCAGCATTGCCATGTTCCCTTGTGCTTGGCGAACATTGAGGGCGTGGCGAGTTGGTCCTTGATCACGGACGATGGCAATGAGACTGCCATTGAAGAGGAAGAGCCGATTGCCGAGGCCGGCAATTGGACACCGCAAGTCCAGATCATTGCGCCTCAGGGCATTGATCTCGTGATCAGCCGTCAGCAGTGATTGCCCGCAGCGGCAATTGACATGGCAAATTTTGGGTGGATTGAGTCCACATTTTCTGCAGATGATTGCGACGCTGACATTGCACGTACCGACGCATTTGCTGGATGATGGTGCAAATTGTACAGGACGCAAGATTCTGACTGTCGCGCATTTGTGCCGAACAAATTTCTCTGAGCCATTGAGATGCCCTGCTTCGCCAATTGCCCCCCTTCATTCTCCCCTTCGCAGCCTTCGAAGCCACCTTCGTCCTCACCCGTCGACGCCTCCTCCCACCCCTTCATCCTCCCCTTCGAAGCCTTCGAAGGCCCCTTCGTCCTCACCCTTCGAAGCCTTCGTCCTCACCTTCGAAGCCTTTGAAGCCTTCGTCCTCACCCTTCGAAGCTTTCGAAGCCTTCCTCCCTTCAGCCCCCCCCTCCCCCTTCCCCCCCCACCCCTTCGACCCTTCACCTTCGAAGGCTTCGAAGGCTTCGAAGCCCCCTTCGCTGCAGGGTCCTCGGATGCAGCCCCAAGCAACTGTGGTTGACCATGGGAAGGAATGGGAGCGAGAATTTAAACACGCAACCCTAAACCCGGTTTTCGCCGCTTGCGGCGCCTGCTTCGAGCGCATCGCTTAGCTTTTTTAATTCAAAATTAGCTACCGCACGAAGCGCTGCGCCCGGCAAATGATACAAGGTAAATCGTTGTTTGAGTTCGTATTTCAAGCGGGGGTTGTGCTCTAGGTGGTCCAAAGTCTGATTCATTATATGAGCTTCATCAAAGATGAGGTTTCGGTGCGGGGATGATGCTTGTGAAAGGAGTGGTGGTGTTGAGAACGTCTTGAGTGGGAGGCATGTCCCTTTTTTGAACATTGAAAAAGATTTGGGACAGTTCAAATCTTGGAATGCCGCACATGTTTGCCTACATATAAGAGGTGATGAAACGCACATGTGCATTCGCTACCCAGTCATTTGCAAAATTTGCTACCGTTTTCATGTTCGTGCTTGATGCTTCCCGCAGGGAGTCTTAGAAGACACGAATCACAGATTTAGGTTGGGCAAACTTAGATTGGCGCCCAAGAGCCGCCAGCCTCGCGAGTCCGAGCCTCAAGCGGCTTGGACGCGATCTGCCAGTTGATGTGTATGAGAGATTGACAAGGCAATCGGCAACAAAAAATGTCAAAATGGGAGGCAGCGCAAAGACTCGCCGACGTTGTGTGGCTAGCGCTTGCCAGCTGTGTCAGGTTGTGGGAGGTGCCGATAAAGGAGGCATCTTAGTTCGAAAAGGCCAAGATTTGAAGTCGGAGCAGCTGGCGGACCGCCACTCGGCAAGGCTGGCCGGTGGTTGCAGTGCATCTTGAGTGATCCCAGTCCTTGGTTGGGTCGTTTAGGTGTTGCGAGCAAGCACTTTCCGAAAGGGCTGAACGCCCAGCTGAGGACTTTCCACTGGCGCCTTGGTCTTCCCGCTTGTTTACACATGTCGTGCCTGTCCTGCTTGACGGTTCCTGTGATGATTGCCATGCTTCTCTGCAGCTTTCCTCAATATGCAACACAAGCAAAGTTTCACAAGGCTCCATGCTTAATGCGTACTAGAGGACCATGGGCTCCAAAGCAGACATTTCCGGCCTCATTGAAGCAAAGTGCTGTTCATACTCTTCTGCAGAATTGTCTTTGGCACCCCAAACACAATGAACATAATGTAGGCACATGTTGTGCTGGCCATTCGAGCCGAAGTGCCAGAAATGATTGCGGCACAGCTGCATCCGTGACGGCATCCGGGTGCAATTCTGCATCTTCTGTCGCAAAGGTTTGATCTCTGCTCAGAAGCCATGAAGAAGTTGGGAACGCCGAAGGCTGTGCGCAACTTCTTCGCCGGCCCCCCAGAGTGTGGTGTTGTGCCTGCCTTGGAAGCCTCTGGATTTGCGTCAATCTGAGGATGGAGGCAATCGCAGAGGGGAAATCGGTGAGTTCAAGGAGGAGCAGTGCGGCTGCGGGCTGAAGCAGCGTTTGACGTGACGGGACGGATCAAGAGGAGCTGAACCACAACAACAAAGACCGAAAGAAGGAGGCCCTGAAGAAGGCCTCACCTGTTTTTTTCCCAGCACGACATGAACCTTGCAGAATGTGCAGCAACTTTGAATACCAAACTTCCAGGTCATTCAAGCAATGACCTTGGGCAACGACGTCTCGTCGCTTTTTCCAGATGTTGTCAAATGCATGCAGACCAACAGCTTGGACCTCAAGCACCTTGGTGACAACGGACCAGAGCTTTGCCTTGTAAGGCTTGTTTTGCCTTGTTCCAGATCGGAGGAAATTGGTCTACCTGTATGTGATCAACTATGCCAAGGCATGAATGCACTTCTTCACACTCGGAGATGTGTTGCTTCACTTGGGCCAGGCGCAGCCAGACTTGGCAATCCTCGCCATCAATGCTTTCCGCACGGACTGACGGGGCATTTTGCTGACTCTCAGGCAGCCCTTCCAACCCAGAGTATCCGGTAGCGTAGCCTTACTCATGCACTGCTGCAGCAGAAGGACCTATGCATCCTTCATAAGACTTGTGTGGCATCCGCCCCACTGCTGCTGTGCCTCGGTGATTGTGTGCGTCTGTTGGGTTTGCAGGATGCGAACGACCCGAACAATCCTCTTCTGCGAGCTCTGGCTGTGCATGCCTTGGCTTCTTCGGGGATTAGGTCTGAACAGGGTCTTTGTGAATGGAACTGATAGGGAGATCCGCAGCCCCCGATTCGAGACCGGTCGAGGTGAGGACCATGGGCTGCATCCGCCTGGAGAAGATGACAGAGTACCTGATCGATCCCCTGCGGAGGCGAGCCTGACACTTGATCGAGCATCGATGTTGGAGCCCAGACTGCCAGGAGTTGCAGAGACATGGACGCTTGGGTTCGCAAAACTGCGACCATTTGTATTGCCAAGCTCTACGACATCAACCCAGAGCTGGTGGAAGATCAAGCTCCGGACTCGGCGTGTTCTTTGATGTTTTGATCGTGAGCATCATCTTTGCCTTTACTTGCCAAGGGCTTTCTGGACATCTTGAGGGACATGCTCGGAGATTCGAATCCGCATGCGTCCCAGTGTCCAAGAGGCAGCTCGCGGCAGAGATGTGCCAACGCTGCATCTAAGGATGGTCGTTGCCAATGCAGTGGCCTCCCTTGGTGAGATCTCCACATCTGCGCGGAAGAACTATCTGAAGCTCGATGAGGATCGATGCTCCCCACTGGATCCCCAAACCCGAAATCCTAAACCCTATATATAACCCTAAATTGTCTTAAATTGTCGAAAGCTCGGCCTGTGGATGATTGAGCCGACTCGCCCTCACCGCCTCTCTGTTTCTTTGCTCCAGGAGGTGATCTCCCGGCTTCTTCCGGCCCTCAACGAGTGCTCGGCAACTTGGAAAGTTCAGACAAAAGGGCTTTGTTGGTTTGCGCTTCTTTCCTCAGTTCTTAGGGCCCTTACAGTAGGAGGACTCCTCTGTGACAAACCTGTCGAGGAATGGGGGCAAGTCTTCATCTTGGACGCGCCTTCCTTAGAAGGCTTTGTGAAGAAAGGTTGAAGGTTTGGTGTGGCTGGGAGCTCCTGAAGACCGGGTGGGCTGAGGTCAAAAAACCCAACAAGTTATTCGAGCAAAACAACCCGTGCCGAGGCGCTGGCTACCTACGATCCACCGAACTCGAAGGTGGCAGAAGCCATCTTGGAAAGAGGTGTGAGTGATACCCATGCCTGCTTGTTTTTGCACGGTGATCGAAAAGAGATGATGTACGTGGTGCAAAGACAGGTGTCATTGCTCGACTCACTCATGGCAACAGTGCCGCCAAAGGCTCAGTTCCAGTGATGCCTGGCTGGCAGCGCAAATGCCTCTACTTGCTTGTCGTGACGCCTCGACAAAGGTGCTTCTGTCGGCAGCTTGCCTGCAACTATGCAGCTGCTCACCGCTAGCCGCCCGCGAAAGGGCTCACACTCCAGCAAGGCCGTCAAGGTGATCATGAAGTTCATGGACCGCCTGTCCAGCAACGACTTAGCTCACTCCCTAGATCCTCATTGTCTAGTTGATGCTGATGTGGCAAGAGTGTACGGTAGCTCCGAGTGGCACGGAGGTGAGGACGCTGTGCAAGCGAATGACAGCACCGCTGGTCACAATGCTGTCCGCAGAACCAGAGATTCAGTATGTGGCCTGGCCAAACTTTATCGGAGGTTTGAGATCTGCCATGCTATTTGTTGTTTCCTCCAGGTGGTGATGCGCAACATCAACCTTATTGCGCAGAAGCAACCCAACATTCTGCAGACGGATGTGCGAATGTTCGTGTGCAAATACAACGACCCGCTCTACGTGAAGCTTGAGAAGATAGCTGTGATGGTCCTGTCCCGAGCATGAGGAGCAGACTCCTTCGAGTCCACCTGTGCCTTAGGCAAGAGGTGTCGTCATCCTCTTAGGTGCAGCTGGCCTCCGACCGGAACATTGACTCTGTCCTCTCCGAGTTCGTCGAGTATGCCTCAGAGGTGTGTCATGGCCATGGTGTGACCTGTGAGGTCTTAGTTGCCGGACGGCTTTAACATGCAATAGATGGGAGGTGGACATCGAAGTCGTCCGCCAGTCCGTCCGAGCGATTGGCCAGGTGCCAGACCTGAAGAGCGACAGAACTTAGCCATACGGCATTTTTTTGAGACGACGGAGGAGCCTCATGCTTTCGGGGCACTTTAGAACATAAGCTCGGGTTCACTGATTGAGCTCAGTCGCCCTCAGGCGGCAATCAAGCTCGAACGATCTGCAGAGCAATGCGTGAATTGCTTGCTGGAGCTGATCAAGACTCGGGCCTTCGCCTCGAAATGAAGCCTACTCTGCTTGGGTGCAGACCTCTCTGTCCCGGAAGTGCTGGAAGCAGGTCAACTACGTGGTTCAGGAGGCCATCGTAGTTATCCGGGACATTTTCAGGAAGTATCCTGGCCAGTGGCTCGACACAAGACAAGACAGGACCATGGTAAGTGGGTCAAAAGGATGGTTCAAGAGTATTAGAGTTCGTCAGATGAGTACTCTCTCGCAGTGGCTCGACAAAAGGATTGGAGTATGGTTTCTGAGTCAAAGCTACTCGTAGGAGTCAGAAGTATCAGAATTTGTCAGATCAGAAGTCGCTCTTCAGAGGGACCTCCACGGACGTGGCGACTTGAGACATCCAAGGTACGAGATGATCATCTCGGAGCTGTGCCAAAACCTGGATAGCCTGGATGAGCCCGATGCCAAGGCGTCCATGATCTGGATCGTCGGGGAGTATGCCGAAAGGCTCGGAGAGTGCTCTGTCTCCGGAATCGTCTCTTAAAGTTCCACCCTGTCAGAATCGACAACAGCGGGGACCTCCTGGAGACCTTCCTGGAAACCTTCCACGAGGCTGGGGACCGATGGCCCGAGATCAGCCTCGTGGTGCTTGCGACCAGGAGCCCTCCACTGTACAGCAGCAAATCCTGACTGCGACAGTGAAGAAGTTCGTGAAGAGCCCCCAGGCGGCTCTGCGATGCGATGAGCAGTCTCAAAAGCCTTACGATCAATCGTGTCAGGACTCTCGGGAGCTTGTTGGGCGTGTTCTGAAGCTGTGCACAGACGAAAGCACCAACCCTGATCTGCGAGACCGTGGATGGATGTACTGGAGGACCTTAGTCTGCAAACAAGAGCGACAACAAGTGATCTTTCCTGACCAGTCTTCGCCAGAAAAAACATGAATTGATTTGAGGCTGCTGAGCAACAACCCGCAGCTAGCGAAGCAGGCACGATCTGTTTGCATTGCCCGGTCCACATTGCAGTTTCCTGCAGGAAAGAGCTAGGATGTTTGTGGCAAGGTTGTTCTCAGCGAAAGGCCGACCATCAGCGAAAATTCCTTCGTCCGAATCTCAACGTCTTTTGATGAGGCTGACCACACCCCACCTCTCGTTCCTGCAGGCTCTACAGCCGCGGGTGCTGGACCGCCTTATTGCAAACATCTCAACGCTGGCATCCGTTTACCACCAGGCAGCCGTGAGCACTCTCAAGCAGCGGTGACTCTGCACTGACTGGAGGTTCCCGAGGCCTTCTGCGACAACAACCGCGGAGCCCGGCAGGTGGAAGAGAACGATGACTTCGAGGCGACCGCGGCTGTAGCCGCGATGTCGCACAGGGCCATCTTGCTGAGAGGGTTGCGGTGATGCAAGGATTACTCCGAAACCATCGAGCGCGTCGAGCAAGAGATCCAGCAGACGGGAAGGACCGCACCGCACAGGGGATGTTTCTCCATGATTGCATTGCAGCTCCAGCGCTCATCTTTAAGTTTGGTCAACACTGACGCAAAAAAATAGGTAAGGGGCAGACGCGGTCCCGACAGTGTGGATGTGTGAAAACGGGACATCAGGCGAAAATCAGGGGCCAGAAAGCAGTTACAAAGTTTCTGAATGCATCCTTGCAGGGAGCCGGTGCCATTGCAATTTCCTTCGTAGCTAAAACTTCTGGATCGTTTGATTGCCCGAGCCTGCATGACCTGACATCGCGGACTGTACCTTGTGATGCTCCTCGTCTGCAATCGTCAGGTATGAAGAGGAGTCCGGCGATGAGGCAAGCGAGGCCGCCGCGAGGAGCAGTGTCGTTTCTGTTCGCTGCCCGTGGATGCGCTTTGGAAGGATAGCAGCGCGAGCTCGAGCAGCGGGGACAGCCCCGACCGCAACAAGCGAGGTGCCCCGGCCGCTGCCCCAAGTGCAGGAGCTGGCGCAGGTGCCTCTGAGCTGAGCTCTTGTGTCGGAGGGTTTAGGGCAGTCCGGAGGGAGCTGTCCCATTCCCTGTTGTGTGTATGGAGGCCCTCCTCCGCCGCTGCGCCCTCTGGCGCAAGTGCTCTCGGAGCAGAGTCCGGGGGAGGGCGGAAAGCGAGGTCTCCGAGTCCGGCTCTTAGGCCTCAACAAGATCACGTTGAGGGCTTTTGGTTTTCGTGAAGTGCAAGCACCTGCAGCCTACACGGCACACAGTGGACATGACCCACTCATGGTGATTCGGGATTTGTCCAGGGCTGTGGAGGTTGATCCATGGCATGGGATGATGTCGAAGACTCGTCAACTTGCACATGGATGAGCACTTAGACAGGTAATCTAAGAAAAGGTCTGTAGATGCAGGCTTCGGTGGCCTTGCCATGTCATGTGGAGATGTGGGGCGCAAACATCACGCAGATGATTGGCTTGGCACGCCCTGGGACAGATGTACGAGGGCGCCGCAAGTCGTGCCGCCTCAGATTGTCGGCCGATGTGCAGCCGGCCATACCAGCGACGGGCTTCTTGAAGGCTGGGTTGAGAGTTCGGCCCTTAGGTTTCAGCAGTTTCTGCCCCCGCAAGTGTTGTTGCGGAGAGCGAACATCATTACGGATCGGGCCAGCGATTGGCTCTTCGAGACTCTGCCGTGGTGTCCCCGGGATGGCCCGTCGGCCAGGCACTTTCAAAAGCAGTTGAGCATGGTACCGCCACAGGTCTTGTTGAGGCGTGCCAACATTGTGACAGACCGAGCAAGCGACTGGCTTTTTGAGATTACGTGGCGGCGTTCACATGGCTTCGGCGGCTTCGGCGGCTTCGGCTTGAGGCGAAGAAGAGAGATTGTGACGCATCTGCGCCTCATACCTCCACAAGTTCTCCTGAGCCGCATCAACATCGTCACCGATCGGATCAGCGACTGGCGCTTCGAGTCTGTCTCGCGAGACAGACCCGAAGTGTTTCCCACAGACTGGGCTCCGCCGCCGCCGCCCGAGCCCGAACAGGATCTTTGGGAGTCTCTTGCTCAAGCCGGCAGGCGGAAGAGGATCCGAGGAGGTGCCCCGCTGCTGTCGCCACATTTTAAGGTCTGCCTCAGCTGCAGGCCGCAGCTGGAAGATGTCCCTGGCATGTGGACCAGATACGCCACCTGTCCACACAAGGTTTCTCCGTCCAGGCTGCCAATGATGCCAGCAGATGCACCGCCACTTGAAAAAACGGGCAAGAAGCTTCGCACGACCCACCTGGCCCTGGTTCGCCGGGGGGTGAGGGAGAAGAAGAAGAAGGGCTTGGCCCGATGCAGACATGGTCTTCGGGAGCGAGCCTGCCACCTTTGCAACGGCTGTCCACATGGCAAGCTGAAGTACCGCTGCAGCATGTGCAAAAAAAGCTGCCCTCACGGGAAGTATGTCAGGCAATGCAAGATTTGCTCTGCTTGCAAGCATGGCAAGCTGCGCGATACCTGCAAGGAGTGCCGAGGCAGCTGCGAGCACGGTTCTCTACGTCTGGCTTGCCGGCTGTGCTCAGGCTGTCCGCATGGGCGTCTGAAGTATGCCTGTGTGCTTTGCCGCCCGTGCCCACACGGACGTCTCCGCATCAACTGTCCGAAGTGCAAGAGCTGCGGCCACGGCAAGGTCCGTGAGCAATGCAAGAAGTGCAACCCGTGCCCGCATGGCAACTTGAAGTACGAGTGTGTCCAATGTAGCGGCTGCCCGCACGGGAAGTTGCCTCGTTTCTGCAGGGTCTGCAAACCCTGTCCCCATGGGAAACGCGCGTCGCATTGCCCACAGTGCACTGGTGCTGGCTGTCCACACGGCTTGTTGCGCAGCAGTTGCAAGCACTGCAGTGGATGCCCCCATGGGCGAGTGAAACGCTTCTGCCCTCAGTGCAATCCTTGCCCGCACGGCAAAAGAAAGCAAGCATGCTTGCAGTGCAGTGCTTGCGAGCACGGCAGGATCAAACACTCCTGTGCACAATGCAAGAGCTGCCCACATGGAAAGGTGCGCCGCTTTTGCAATCAGTGCAATGGATGTCCTCACGGAAAGCTCTTGCGCTTCTGTCAGCACTGCAGGTCTGCAAAGCAGTCCAAAGGATCGTAGCATCGTACATACTTATGCTCTGGCGTCTGCACCATCGCCCATCAAAATGGTCTGAGACGAAGTGCTCTGGCATGGAGCGAGTCGAATCTACAGGATAGCAATTGGTCGTTGAACGCGATTGTTTTTTCTTTGCTCGCTGATTCAGCTATTCCTGTCTGAGGTGGCTGCAGCTGTTGTTCGAGGCACCGGTGGGGCCATAAACATGCAGCTGATGGCCACGACCTTGGCACTCCGACGTTGTGCCAGAGTGGCTATGTCAAGAGTTCTATGCAACCAAAAAGGTCGGAAACTTCACCCCCCAGCCCATGGGCGGCTGGGTGCCTTAGCTGCAAAACTTCTCCGCAGAAGGTTGATTCTCCGGCTGGTCTCGTCCACATGGTTGAGCAAAAGGTGCTAGGCTATCTCGTTGAGCGTGCCACTATGCCACTATGCATAGCACAAGTCGAGGGATGTGCTTTGACCTGCCGAGTAGCGCCGTGCTGTCAGACGGCTTTTGGTTCAGGATGCTAGACTCTTGTTTCGATGACAGCCTTGTACCGCTTACTGGTAGTAAGCCCAGACCTTGCATACGGTAGTCGGGTTGTCTGGCCTCGGGCTGACCGCATGTACTTGTGGATGGTCGCCCGGCTCAGACCCACTTGCATCGATGAAGGTTGATTGCAGCCTCTCGCACGACAGTTATAGCCTGCGCAAATGCCGACATGCCATGTATTCCGCATCTTCCTTACTGCAAGTGCTTGCAAGAAGAGCCTAGAGTGCGACAGCTGCAGCGTTCGGTCCCACTTGAGCAGGCTGTGCAGTTCAACAAAAACCCTTTCGGCTTGGCACCTCCGAGCGGACCACTGCAGATGGAGCAGGCACGGCCAATTCTAGATGTTATGTATGAGTATGAGCCTCTGGGTGGGTATACATGTACCTGTTATATCATATAAGATGTACATGATGTATGTATGTGCATGTGCACATATGTGCCGAGAGCAGACACATGAAGGAAGAAAGGCATGCACACGTGCGCATACGCTCCATGCAGTTGTTCCCACTTGCGACCTGTTAAAGGTGGCACCGAATGGAACGGCCAAAGCGCTGCTCCCCCTGACCCCCAACAAGCTGCAAGGCCGGACACCAGGGAAGCTAAGCCTGTTCTGCAAAGTCTGATGTTTGCGAGGTACACCGCCTGCACTACCGCTTTACTTGGAAGTTTCTTAGCCGCATTGGAAGCCTGTGCAGTGAAGTGAAAGTCCATTCAAGGGAAGGGCTGGAGTTATACACTTTAGCTTTTGACTGCAAGCTGTGCCAGCTGCCCAGCCGGAAGGTAGCGATAAAGTCCAGCGTCGACATTTTCTACTTTAACGTGCCGTGGCTGCAAGCCAAATTTAGCCGCTGTCGCTGGAGCTTGAGTCTCCAAAGGTGCCCTACGACTTGTCAGCGGTATTGATGGACAGCGGGCCGGTTCCAAAAGACGACTTCCAGCGGGTCTGGCAGAATCAGTCCGTGCAGAAGGCCGGAGCTAACCGGAGCGCAAAGCGGCAGGGTTTCAGTGTTCTGGCAGCTAGCAGAAACACGAGACTGGCCTTCGCCAAGCGTTAAAATCGCGACACTTGATGTTTTTGTCGAGTGAAGGGATTGTGACTTGATGTCCAACCCCTGTGTTTATGCCGGCAGTTCTGTCCTCTGGGTTGGACAACGAAAGTGTTGGAAGCTTTTGTTTAATCGCTGCTGCTAATTCTGACGTGGCAACTTTACAGGCGATGTCCCAGGGAGTGTTCGCGCAGAGAGTGACGCCGGAGATGGTTGCTGCAAGGCGCGCGGCATCGCGCAGCTTTGAGCCTTCGGGCTTCAAGTGATTTCCGGTCGGAAGGTTGCAGCAGTACTTCTGCTACGTGGTTGTGAAGACCCAGGCTGGGCGCCTCTCTGTTCGCATGCCGTGTACCCCTGGCATCCCCCCTGTCTGCCAAAGCTGAGATTCGCAGGGCCAGGAGGCGGATTCGCTTTACATCAGCTGTCCGAGCCTGACCTCGTTCGACTAGTGCTTCGATGATCTTCGATGTTCTGCAGATTTCTGCAGCTCTCAGGCACCACCAGTAACAAGCTGACAGTTTTCTGCGAGCTGAGCTTGCAGAAAGGAGGACCCGGAGCCGGCAGCTCGGGTAGCCACTGTCAGCTGGAACTCGGGGCTCTGCCTCAAGCGAATCCAGGAAGCCCTTCTGTGCTCACACCATAGGTGAGGGCCCAGTGCTGCTCAGAGCAGCCTGTGATGGTGCCCATCTTTCAGAGCTTCCTCTCCGAGCTGCTGCAGGCCGGTCCCGGGATTGGGACGTGCTTGCCGGGCCACGTGGCAAGGGGAGTCAAATTGGCCAGGTGAAGTGGCAGCAGGGTGGTCCTCCTGTGGCCGGAGGGTCCTCCGCCCCGTTTCAGTCCGGGCAGGGTTTCTAGCGATGTCAGCGTTGCATCTAGAAGCAATTCTCCTGAAGCATCCCCGGGTTTGCAGAGTACCAGCTAGTCATGTTATGGCGAACAACAGACGCCCGTGTACGCCCAGGCCGCGCGGATGAGTGCCGGCTGGAGGAGAAAAAATGGGCCTTTGGGGCATCGCAGCTTCCGTGGTTGTGATCACCACTCTCTACTCCTTCTATGAGAGCTCGATCAATAGTCTTCTCTCCGGACATTTAGGACAGCACATCACTGCAGTCTGCAGTGCTCTTGTGAAGTCTTGTTTTTTCTCCCTTGCGATGCAGAGTTAAACAGCACTCGTCACAGCATGGCATCTAAGAAACCAGTATGTGAGGCTGGTGAGTTTGAAAGAGAAATTCCGAGAGCCCAGTTCCAGAAGAGCCCAGTTCCACGGCCCGCTTCTGTTAGCTTCTCGACGTGATCGTCTCGACTATGACTAGGGCGTCCTCGCATGTCTAGAGACTTCCCCTAGTAGGGGCCCAACTAACAAGAAGGGCTCTGTCAGAATTGAGCCATGAGCCATGACCCCAAGATCTGAAACTAGAGCCTGAGCCATCCTGAGCCTCAAAGCCAGGTCGAAGAGCTGAAGCTCGTTGGCGAACGCCTGCACTACAAGCGCTTGACAGGTGCTTCGTACTTGGCAGCCTCCTATCGTCCTATCCAGTGTCTGACAGAGTGAAGTTCCAAAGGTCCAACACTTCTCGTAGCTTTGCATGTCGGTGCAGCGGTCGGGCTGTCACGGCATCTGAAGCCGGAGATGTGCTTCGGTTGACCAGGTACTGGGCCGGAAGAGGGCTGGATAAGCCTGAAGGTTAGTGGCAAGGACACGAATCATCTTCATCATGACATGCATGTGCCTACCAGACTCGGTTTTTTTTCTCTTTTGGCTGCTCTGAGGAGCTAGTAGTCAGGAAAGACGAGGACGACACTCCCCCGGAAGACGTGGGTGGACCTGGACCCCGATATCTGCCGCAGACCGTTTCCTCGCTCTCTTGTCCTCCATCTGTTGCTTTATGCCCTGTTCTGTGGCAGGAGACGCCGCAGGAGCGGTTGAGACTGATGCCGCCCTCAAGAGCAAGCTTGAAGCTGACTCGAAGGCAGAAGGGTGCAACGCAGGACCGACAGTGTCGACATGTGTCGACCTGGCATTTGCAGAGGCCAAGAAAGACGAAGGGGCACTTCTGCTGTACTGCATGAAGTACAAGGCCTGACTCTCTTCTCTGCTCTTCAGCTCCGCTGCGTTCTGCTTGGTGTCTGCGGTTAGGTCCTCGGCTTCCCCTTGGACAAGCCGAAGCTGCGAATTCTGTGCTTCCACAATGCTGGCAGTGCAGAGTCCATCTACACAGGGCCGTGTACCTAGCACCTCACTTCTGGCCTGGTTCCAAACTCCACTGGCTGAGGCCTGGCACTCCTTTCATCAGCTGGATCAAGGAGAGCAAGCCCTTGGGCAGCAGTGGGTGGTCAGCGTGCTCCTTTCCTTCACATTCGGTGTTTTTCTCCGAGAGTTGAGGCAGATCGAGCTTCTGGCCTTCGACTACCCAGGGCGAGACAAGCTGCTGAAGGCAGGAGAGAGGGAGCGGAGGCGCACTTCGGCAGAGAGAGAATCCCACAGGCTACGAAGCACACGACCACGGAGACCCTCGCGCCGGATCTGCTCGTGGAGCTGACTAACTTGGGCTTTGGGAGCTGTTCCGCTTCCTAGAGCAGCAACAGCAGAGTGACAGGCCGTGGCCCACGAGAAGCTCACGGACGGCGTGCCTTACTTGGTGTGGGGCCACTCCGTCGGCTTCCCCAGCGTGCTGCACGTTAGGCCAACCCATGGTATTCCCTGCTTTTGACACCTCTGACACCTGCGAGGTCGGAACCTGGGTGGGCTTCGAGTTTTTGATGCTCTGCCGAAAGGCAGACTCTGGCACTTTTAAGGAGTTGGCTTCGGCCATGGCCCCTGTTCAGGTGGGCATTCCCATGCCCCTGGCCGCCTTCTTCGCGGCTCGGAAAGTTTCTTCCGAAGGTTGGAGGATGCCTGTCTGCAGCGCCGTCCCTCAGGTGACGTTCCCGGCCCCCCACTACCCAGAAGCCAAGCGTTGGCGTCCTAGCTCAGGCATACGAAGCGAGGGAGCCAGAGACCTGAAAGCCGCGACTCAGGACCTTGGCGGCGAAATGCCAGGTTGAACGACTCGCAGTTTCAGGAGGCGAGCTTCCAGACCCTTCGCCCCACGCGTCGTCTTGTCCTGTCTCATTTCATGACCGTTCTGATTTTTCTCTTCTTGAAGACGTCGCTAAACTCCGGTGGTGGCAGGAAGTCAAGGCCTGGGACAAGGAGCACTTCGGCGGGGCAGCCAAGGCCTGTAGCTGCCTTGAGGGCGGTAAGGAGCTTCGCAGACAGCCCTGAGCTTCTCTATCCATCTGAGTCTCTGAGTCTCTGGGTCTCTCATCTCTGGTTCCCTGGTCCTGGCCTCTCTTTTTAGCGAGGGGACTCCCCTGAACCTGGAGGTTGTCTTCGAGGAGAGCTGGAAGGACACGTGGGAGCCGATGATGCGGGCCGACTTCAAGCTTTTCGACGAGTGCGCCTCCCCAGTCCCCAGCCTCCGCCAGTCGCATGGCACATAGTGTCATAGTATGGCACATCATGGCACAGGTACAAGTTCCGCCATGCGGGAGCACCCAAGTTCGACTTCCCTCTCCACTGCTGGTGGTGCGAGGGTGAGCATTTCATCAAGCCCGACATGGTGCAGGCTGCTGGGAACGCTACAGTAGGCCTCGCTAGGCCCCACAGGCAAACCCTGAAAGCCTGATTTGCGAGGCCTGGAAGGACTGGACCGCCGGGCCTTTCGACTACCAGGAGCTGAAGGCGCCTAAACAAAACCACGAACTGCCGAACTGCCGAACTTCTGTACTGCATCTTACGATGAGGGAGCGGGTCACCTCACGGCCTTCTACAAGCCGGACTTGAAGAAGGCGCCGAAAGGAAGAGCTCTTCTCGCCGAAGCTCTCGCTTCTGCTTGGCAGGCGTATTTCACAAAGGTCACGGATCTCATGAAGAACTATGCCGGCTTGTAGCCGGCCCCTTGCCCAGGGCGGTAGCGCACCGTGGGTACATGGCCAGCGATGGCCACATTATCTCTTTTCCAGTGTTCTATATAGAATTCCCGTAGGAGCGGCAGGCCGACCTTGTGCCCCGACCCTGCAGAATACTGGTTCGGTCTGCCGAGAGCTCTACATGCACCAAAGCTGTGAAGTAACAAGCTCCACAGGCTGTGCAGCCTGCTCGAGTGGGGTTTTTGTTGTCAAGACGTTTTCCCCGATAAACGGGCGAATGCAGGAGTGCAGAGCAGCGCTGATTTTGCTGACGTTGCCAACATGCCCACCCTACATGGCATGACATATATTGCCATCGCCGCCGGCATCAACCAAAGCGGGATGTACAGACTGTGCCCGTGAGAGCACAAAGGGTTCGCTAAGAGCATCTGTTGGGCAACCGGTTCCCCTCCAAGCGCAGTTGACAAAGAGGAGCCTCCCCGAACAGAGATGAACAACACGCCACTGTGCAGATTAAAAATTGCAAGACACCGATGCCATGCATCTGGGCATGCAGATGGCGCTGCCATGAAGGATTCCGGCAGCATCCGCCTACTGGCAACAGGCGAACTGACAGGCTCCGAAAATGGATGGCGCGGCAATGCAGCAACATGCACAGAGCCCTTGAGCCGTCCGCCCCTGGCAGGTCAGAGATATGGGGAGACACCCTACAAGGCTGGCAGTCTTGCAGTGTCTTCCTTACGGGATCGAGTTTCTCTTCGCCCGGTGCAGTTGTACGAGTCCACCGATGGGCTCACGAGGGAGCAGCTTGAGCAAGCTCCCTACTTCTTCGTGTGGCTCCACGGCATGGACCGGGGATCGCAGCAGGATTGGAGCCGTGAGCATGACATGAGCTCGGACAGGACAACGGCCCCATCGCGCCGAAGAACCTGCAAAGGATGCAAGCGAGACTTAAGCACCGCGTGATCTTCATGGCCTTTCGCTCGCATTATGCCGCGGTAGCACCGGTGGCATTGCATGAATGCCGGTTCTTGCAACCAAAATCCAGAACAACGAATCCAGTGAGCATGCCAGGCTCCTCAAAGCCCGGCCGCGAAGAACGAGCTCCGCTTCGACTGGGGCTGCTGTTACTACAAGACCCAGAACAAGAATCAGCTAGGCCCGAATCTTCTCCTCCTTCCTTTCATTCTTGAATCAAGCAGAACATGCCGCTGCAGCTGAACACTTTGCCAGGTTATGTCTTTGGCTCGTTGCATCAGGACCGATGTGTGCTCATCTTCGCTCTTCAGCTTCAGTCGCCGATTCTGACAGGAGTTTCTACGCGATTTCTCACAGCAGATCGGCTTTCTGGCCTCGTTGTTTCAAGCTGAGCGTACCCTGGTGATGGGGCTGCTGAGCTGCATGTTGTCAGACGATCTCAAAATTGTGCTATCGCTTGAGTCTTTGAGACGGCCACAATCCCAATCCATTGCTTTGGATGCCTCAGCATCCGATCCGGCTTGTCGGTTGCCAAAGCGTCGCCGCGCTGAGGTACAGCATGGGCGGATTCGGCGCTTTCCAAGTCGGGGGATTCTCCCCAGTGTCTCGTCTCAGCTTTTGGACGGAGCTCGAAGGCTTGAGATGGCTTGAGATGGCTGGAGATTGTCAGGCCACCTTCGACGCAGTGGTGTCGGTGGCAGGCTACGGCCTCGGGACCCTCGAGGAAGGCGGACGCTCGGATCGTGTCGGTTGCGCAGAGTGTGGGACGTCGGCTTTTGCCCTGCAGGTGAGGAGACACCCCAGCCAGAAGCACGAGAGCGCTTCGAGCAGTTCCTCGAGCAGGCGCTTTCGGCCGCTGGGAGCAATCTGGGAGACACGAAGAGACCACCGTTGGCCAGGTAGCCACGAAATTGTCAGATGTGCCCATCGTGCTGGCGCTGCACGCACAGACCCTTGGACAGGAGTGGTACGCTGCGCAAGGCCCTCAAGCCTCGAAAGTGGGCCCAAAGCTGCAAAGGTGGGTGTATCGATGGTTTGGCACTAAGAGCCACCCAAAAACCAAAGCCTGAGCTGTGCGACTGTAGGATGGCTAGAACTTGAGTGTCAAACACCGCAGTGGCCCTATCCTTGCAAGCAACACGTTCGCCGTGCAAACGCAGCGGCTCTCCTGGGGTCTTCAGGGTACGTCGCGAGACGGGGACCATAATTTCGGTTCCTCTCCAGTTCCTTTGTTCTTTTGCTTACAAGCACAACCCCACGCTAAAGCCGAAACCTGGCCAGAAGACCCAAACCTAAGCAACAACCGTGGACCCTTAGTTTATAGGAGCTGCGTCACATGACGTGCAGCAGCAGCAGCAGCAGCAGCAGCAGCAGAGTGTGGTCGTAGCTGGCCCGTATGAAAGTTGGTGCACCAGAGCGAAAGCTGATGGCGAAAGCAGTCACTGACATTCTGCGATGTGTGTAAAGAACCCCCTGGACGAATCTATCCCGCAAGGAAAGATGGCATGTCAAGCTTCACTGATGTCACTGGGCTGAATGAGGAATCAGACACAAGTCGGCCTGAGTTACAAGTGTGTGCTATCTGCGTGTTTGCACTGCGTGCTGGATGCTATGTGCGTACCACATACTTTGCACTACTACTGTACGTAGTCTTGGTTCTTTGATGTTTCGTTGTAGCCTAGGCCGCACTCTCCGACGGGCCTCTGGCTCGTTCGGTGGGCCGCAGTGTGCCTCAGGGCACGGTGGACTTACTGACACTCACTCTCCGACGGCAGATCGACAAGATATCCTGGTGCCGACTCAATCTGTTCCAAGTGGGAGCTCAACATGTTCTTGTACGGGGATGTCACAAACGACGTGCACCTGGGTCTTCGTTGCATCAGGCAAAGGACGGCGCGTGACAGTCCGAGAGCACGGTTCAAAAATTCAAGACGGCCCGAAGCTCTGCCGGAAGGAGGTGCTTCACGTGCCAGCTGCATGGCTGCATGGTTATTGTTCAGGGCTTGCCGGGCTTCCTCAGTGTCGGGTTTTGCTGTGTGCACACAGGAGACACGCGGCAGCTGTCCTCCACTTGCGGTGTGCAGGTAGGTTTGTGACCTTCGCGTCTGGAGCGAAAGTCGCACACGGACACAAACGCAGCCACAACAAAAGCAACGTGCGAAGCACAGAGAGTTCGCAGTTTTAGTCTGTCTTGTTCCAGAGCAAAATCTGCTCCGGTACGCTTTTCCTTGCTCGCAGGCTCGAAAGCGGCAAGAAGAAGTTCGAGCCTTGGCAGCCGTGGTGTTTTGTTCATGGTGGGGCTCGACAGGGCTTCGGGCTTAGGGTCTTGAGGTTGGGCTCGCTGGGGAATTGGGTGCATGAGGTTTGGCGGGAACAATCCCGAAACCAACTTCTGAAAGAGGAACTCCGGAAACCTTTGCCCCTCGCTTCTTGTGCCCTTTTCCTGCCTGCGCTGCCCCCTTATTCCCTCTCAAGGCGCGTTCATGATCAGGTCCACGGCTGTCATTTTCTGAAAAGCCGCCTTCTGTTTGTTTCCTGCAGCTGCGAGGTCACCTTGCAGACCGAGAAGCCAGCGCAGCGGCCGAAAGTCGAAACGAAGTCAGCGTGAATCCCCGTGAACTTCATGCAGCGACAAGTGTGGTTGCAGGACGTGCAACTCGATGCAATGGTCTCAGCAAAAATGACATTATCAACACTATAAGAAAGAAATCAGAAATCTGGTTACCCGGAATGGCCAAATGAGGGGGCATGTTTTAGATGTCTGACGAGTCGGGGTCGCCAAATGGTGGGGTGTGTTTAAGATATATGGTTGTGAGATTCTTTGATGGACAGACTGTGGCGATTTCAAACGATTATTTCTTCATTTTATCATCATTTTTTTTGCTCTTCGTTTTCATCTTCGTTTCAATTCTTCATTTCATCTTCGTCTTGATCATCATTTTTCTTCGTTTTCATCTTCGTTTCATTTCAAATCTTCATTTCCATCTTCATTCTGATCATCATTTTCACCGCCCCCCCCAGGCCCGCGGACGATGAAAATGAAGATGAAAATGATGATTCAAATGAAGATTAAAATGAAGAAAAA